CCTTCTTCTTCAATTATTAACCACTTCTTTTATTCTACTATTCCCACTGAGTCTTTAAGGGAAAAAACATCAATAAATAAATCACGCCAGCGGTAGCCTCTTTTGTAGTCTTTGCAATAGAATGTTTGTGTGTGTTTGGTGTCCAAAAGACTTTGGAAAATCCTGTCCTATTGTTTTCTATTTTAACTTTTATCTGGATGAGCCTCTTTTGGCCAAGTCAAGATGTGACGCATGTCCAAATGTGTTTTTTATATGTACGCATGGTAATTATGGAAGGAGCTAGTGAGTGAGTGTATGTGCATGTGTGTGCATATGTAAGTGATACAGAGAACCCATCGCTGTCCATGTGTGTAAATAACTGAATTTGTATGTACAAGGGGGGGGGGGGGGGTGCTGTGTGAAGACCTTGTTGTCATGGCAACCAGGATAGAGAGAGAGAGTGGGCGGTTGCCCTCACGACTCCTCTGACAACCTTTATTTTCTCCAGCTTTGTGTCACTCCGATATTAACCTCTAACCCCGGACAGAACGAAGGGGGATGTGGGTGCGGTGTGTTCTTCTAAAGAGGTGCAGGCATCCGGAAAAGGAGAGAAATATGGCGTTTGGCGTGCATCCTATTGCAGCATTTGTCTCTAGCATCTAACAGCCAAGCTTATGCTAATAGTGGTATTGATAAATGTGCGTGTCTGTATCCTGATTCAAGGTGATATTTAGCTCTGCAGCTTTTTCCTCTGGTAAATTTCCATTTTGAGTTGACTATGGATCATTTGGTCTTCAAACACACATTCCTGGGAAAGAGTGTCGCTATGAGGAAGATCGGTTTGCTGGATTTCCCCTTTTCCAATGAAGTTGCATTGAATTAATGAGCAACATTGCCTATTTTCTAAGTCAGTGGAAGGTGTTGAATTCGGTAAGAAGAGATGGAGAGTAAAAGAAGATGGACAAGGAAGCCTACTGCGAAAAGTGATCGTGAGGGAATTGAAGAAAGCTTTTAGTTTCCGCTACTAGAAGACTGATGAATCGGTGACAAGAAAATGGGCACTCATCCTTCGTGGACAGTTCCTATTATAGGGTTGGTCTCCTAAGTAGAAAACGTGAGAAAGGCTTGTGAGAAATTGACGAAAGACACGCCGGTGTTACACAAAGTGAATTGTGGAGCCGAGCAGAAACGGGTAGCCAGTATTATTTTACGTGATTTGTGGTATTTTTCTGCTGTAGCGACAAAGTGCGTCGGAGACGTGTCTCACTGCAACAGGCTCATGCATTAAGTATGACCCTGCCAACGAGAGGACGAGGGGGGGAGTCGAGGAGAAAGTCTAACCAAAGACACCAGGTAAAGATGGACAGGGACCACACCAAATGTATGGCGGCGGGGGGGTGGGCGGGGGGCACAAATGAATTATGAATTTGGGCGAATTCAGGGCAAATTGTACCGGCAGGAGAGGGATTTCTATGAATAATTCACCCAGTGGGGGGCCTGATCATCATCTGCCCAGCAGCATCACCTTGAGTCTCAGACGCCCCTCATCACTGTTACCATCCATTGACCCTTATAATCTCTCGTGTGATGCTTCATCAGTCCATTTCTCCCAGTGAGCGTTTCCTTTTGTTTATGTCTAAATCACCCCATCTTCCTCCTTTCCCTCCGACCCGTCTCTTTTCATGCTGATGTTTTTGCAGACAGACGGACCCTCGGGGAAGAGTAGAGGGTGAAGGGGGGCATGTTTTCATTTATTTTTCTCCCCCCCCCTCTTCCCTCGTCCCGCTTCCTCTCCCCGTACACATCTTCACAGCTGGAGGTAGTTAATATTTAAAGGCAAGGCATGACAGGACACAAGACCTGCACACATGTTTGAACATGCACACACACACACACACACACACACACACGTGCAGGCACACACACAGATTTAGTAGAGCAGCACATCCGATCTGAAGCACAGAGAAGCTTAAAGAATATGTGTTCACATGATTCACAGCGTTTGGCGAAAACGAAGCATCTCCTCACATGAAAAGATGAGGATGTGAAGCAAACATTGAAAGTCTCATGTAAATGTGTGTGGGTGGCGCGATTGGGATTAGAATATGCGTGAATCTCAAAACATGATTTGACTCTTGAGGTTTGATCTTGTGTGTGTTGCCCCCCCCCTCCACTGATAAGGGAGCCTATTCAGCATTCAAAGTCCTTGGCTACAACCCAACATGTCTCTACTTAATGCTAATTACTACATTTTGCAGGGAGGGAAGGGTGCAATTTTCTATCTAATGGATGACATGGGGGGTTTTCACCACAATGGTTTACAGCAATTAAATTCAACTAATGAAAGCGACACTTCAGCGCAATACACAATGTTTGGGTTATTTATGTTTTTGTAAGCAAAACCCCTCAAAGCAGAAATTAATGAATAATTGAAGCAGGAAAATTGCCTGGTCGATTTTGGCTTGTTTGATACACAGCTCGTTTTCTGCTGTCAGGCTTTCTTGTGGAAAAAAAGACAAAACTGCCACGCCCTGAAATCTCAACACGGTGCTACCCACTGTGTAATCTCCCTGTGATTGAACGGCTTCGGATGGCGCCCGTTGACGTCTGAGCGGTGATAATAGTTCTTAAAAGCACTCAGAGAAGAGTGTTGCGGGTCATCTCCGCCCCATGCTGCGAGCGTCCATCCCAGGCACGACCTTTGACCCTGTCCAATGAAGCAGGTAACGGGGCTCGGATTGGATCGTGGACAGCTGCACAGAGGACACCCTGAAGAAATCAGGCATCTGCTTCGATGTCAGTGACTCTAACCCCTGTGATAATGGAGCTCCATGAGGGCTCCGTGCCGTGCACACAGCAAGCAGGTCCATATGTGTGTGTGTGTTCATGCATGTGTGCTGGCGTGTCAGGCCACATCAGGCTGTGCTATCAGCATGTTTGGGTGGCTGGGTCGGCCTCGTTACATGGCGGCCTTCCGCGCCACTAAGCCCTCGCTCACCCACAGTCCCTCCTCTCTCCTTCCAACCCATTATAGTGTTCCCCTTTACTGCTTCTACTCAACCTGACTAGAATATTCTTTAGCAACGCCCACCTCCTGACTGGAGTCACTGGACCGTGGCCCTCTGTCAGTCTGATCTCTTCTGTCAGACCACTTGAGGTGTGCGTCCTTCAACCCGTTGCAAGCTTCTTTGTTTTTCTGTTACCAGGAGTGTGTACCATGGAGGCTACGTCGGTGTGCACCCAGCACGCTCCCCTGGTGAATCGTGATTGCCGTTATGCGCGCCACATCGCTAATCAGCGTCCTCCTTTGCTCCGCTCGGCTCTCCTTCATCGTTAATTTTGAGGGGGCACCGATAGGCACGCTCTAACCTTAGATCACACAAACACAACTACTGATACCCAGAGTAGCCCTGCTTCACTCGTCTGCATCTTATGGCATTTTGTTGAGGCTGGTTTAATAAGACTGTAATTGCCAACCTGTCTCCTGAGAACCACAACCACTAAGGCGGTTGATAAAAGGACAGGAAGAGAAGAAACGGGGAAAGTGAACAAGTGATGCACTCGGATTGGAAGAGCTTTCACATGTGTGTGTGTGTGTGTGTGTGTGTGTGTGTGTGTGTACAACTGGATAGTCAGGATTAGCATCACAGCTGTCACCCTTTGTCATTCCTCTCCTCCCATATTCCTCCACTCCTCCCATCACCTCTCACCCTGCATCGCCCACTCCGCCTCTCTCCTCCCTCACCTCCACTTCTCCCTCTCCTGTGCCCTCCTCTTCAAACCCACTTTTCCATTTTATCCTCCCCTCAAGTCTCCCACCCACTTCACCCTTACTTATTCTCCCTCTTTATGAGCCTGCATTCCTCCGACAAAACAGGCACGTTTACGTAACGGCTCATTTAATCCTGTTGTTTTAAACGTCCTTATTAAAGGCTCAGCTCTTGTTTGGTCTTTAATTCCATCCAATTTGGTCGGCTCCGTTTATGTGCTTAAATGTGATTGTTGCTTTTTCAAATAATGTCTTTAATATATTTTCCACTGAATAACAATTTCCCTCACAATTAACTGTGCAGCCGTTACCCACTAGATATCAGAAAATGAAAGATGATTGCGTCTCTCCATCCTCCTCTCACCCACTACTCTTCTCCTTCATCTTCATCTCCCGTCGTCTCTGACCTCCCCCGCACTCTCCAAGGTCGCCCATCACTCTGCTGTGGCGTTGCCAACAAACGGTGGAGAGCCGAGGCAGAACTCTCTCAATCACTCATTCAGAGCGGCCAAATCGGCTTCCTTCTCTATTGTCGCCATTTTCTTTTGTCTCGCATGTACGTCTTAATCATGGTGTGCCATAACAGTTCTTTGTGTGTGATACCGAGTAGTGTAAACAGTCAGCGGGCTGCGCCACGTGGTGCTGCGGGGGGAGGACAGCCCGCATGTTGCGGGCGAGGACCGGATCCAAGGGTACAGATGGAGAACGGATAGACTCCCAGCAGTGGGTAGCTTGCAGTGACTGATAGCATCTTTATCGCATACTTATCACAGCACTGTCACCCAAGTACACTGTGGACTATTCGGTTTGCACAACACATCCCGGAACAGTCAACCTCATTATCAACTACTTGTTTGACTGTCTTGCGTATTATCTTTTTTGACACATCATCCATCTGCATTTGTCTTTTAAAAAGCCCATATGGGAGCTCTGATCTACGCGTCTTGTTGTGGTATTCTGTCCATCTGTCCAGCTGACCGGCCTCTTACATATGGGCCACTGCTCATCTAATTAAACAAATGGAGATTTTTACTTTGCCGGAACAGGTTCAATGAATGCGTTTTTTTTTTGTTCTTTTTGTCGGGATATGCATTGTTTCCTGTTGTTGTCAACTCTGTGTTGCTGTCTGTGTTCACGTCTGACCACATGGCACAGGGTCATTTCTCTCCCAGTCTGACACATGGCCCCGCTCTGCCCCTCCCTCTCGTTTCTCCACTCCCCTCCTCCCCCCTCTCTCTCTTTTATGTTACAGAGAAGAGACCAGCGGGAGGGCGTGGACCTGATTTATAGAAAAGCTCAACGAGGAGTGAGGTAGAAAGGAGGGAGAAGAAAAGAGGGACGTACGAGGCGACGCTGAGGCCTCCTTCAAACGAAACAAAGCCTCACACACGAGTGTGTAGCTGACCTCTGTTTGCGTTTTACTGCACTTGCGTGAGCAGGTGGGAATTTTATGGGACAGTGAGCAATGCCTCACATGCAGCAACAGCAGGTTGGCAGTAGGGGGCGGTGCTCCCTTCCCCTCCTCCTTCTCCTCCTCCTCCTCTCCTTTGCTGCCCGGCCCAGCCAAGCAGCCATACACATACCCTCCAACTGTGAGTACAGGTTAATATCGTACCAACGCTGGCTGAATGCTTCCATTAGGTTCAAAGATCTGTTTGTGGTGTTAATTACATTGTTGATTCATCAAAGCATGCTAATAATGATCTCACATTATGATTCATTTGTGCAAATGAGCAGAACGTGTATTTCTCTTTCAGTAACCTCAATATTCAGGGTTGGATTGCTTTATTGCAGTATTGGAAATACTACGCTGAGGTTTATTTGGTTGGTGCTCATCTGCGCCTGTGGTGTGTCTAATTACTTTGTAATTGATCCCCTCACACAGCATTGATTAGTCCCATTATTGATCGGCTTTTTCTTGGTGCAAACCATAATCAAATGGGGGGTGGAGGGGGGGGGTAATTTAATCAACAATTGAGTTATACCACAAAAATCCAGCAAGATCTTTCATTACTCGCTATCATTTCTTCCTCCTCCTCAATGCAATATGTGTGGCATTTTGAAATACTGCTGAGGTTGTGACCCTGCAGGGAAATTGATCTTCATCTTCTCTGCTGCAGAGAGAGAGAGAGATGCACTTTTATCTAAGACTACTTGCAGTGAGTCACGGTCATTCACCACCCATGCACACTTCAAAAGACAGTGTACAAACAATAGTTTGCACACGTCTGGACGCACATCAACGACCTGTAAATGTTGATGAAATGCAATAATCTCCCGGTCTAATTTCCAAATGGGGAATCTGTGACACAGAGAGGTGAGATGGCTGAGGAGGAGGAGGAGGAGGGGAGGATGATTATGAGGAAGACGGAGCGGGTCAAAGATGTAAAAGGTCAAGGTGTCCCCTGCCTTTTAATTAGCAAGGATCTTCCATGTCAATGTGAGTCCCTTTGGCAGTGATCGGGATCAATAAAGGAGATGCGCTTTAGAATTTGTGTCAAAGAGGCCATGGGTGAAATTACGCTCAGGAGACATTACTCTGCTTTATCTGCCATGTCTCATGGAGGTTGTTCCATTACCGGAGATCAACGTCCGTCTATCTAGTCTATCTGTCTGTCTCCGTTTGTCTGTTTGCTCACTGTCTCTCTCTGTCTATTTTAACTCTTTCTTCACTGTAACTAATGTGTTTTTTCCCTCGTTGCCTTTTCTCTGGCCACCATCGGGGCGTTACAGACCAAATAAGTGATCGTAAGTGCTTTTAACTTTATTGACTTCTTGCTTGTCTTAATGCTGGTGCTGGGACTTTATTGCAAACATTCGTATTATACCACAGAGCATATTTTCCATTCAGCGCACATTGAAAGTCCAGAAGCACTTTAATGAATAAGGCAATTTGCTGTGTTATGCTTGTGAATGTCCCTGTCCACGCAATGTGTTTCTGTCTCATGCACGCGTCTTTGTACATGAGGATGTGCGTGTGTGTGTGTTGTCCACATGCGCCCGATTCTGTGTGCGTTTTTTCTCTATCTGGGTGTGTGTTTTGCCTTTTCGCCATCCAGTAAGTGGGATTCCTGTAGGAGCAGGCGGGAGGACGTGTGAGGAACTGCTGTCCGTAAGGAGGCAGCAGGCCTGTCAGATCAAAGACACAGGGAAATAAAGAGGAGTTAACGCACTAAGCAGCGGCTCCTCTCCTCCTCCTCCTCTGCCAATAATGGAGCTGTGCCTGCAGCCCGAACTTCAATTTGATCAGCTGAGAAAATAGGCTTATTGCTCCTGTCAGTGGGAATCTTTCATTAAATTCCCCCACTCTCTCTATCCGTCCCCTTCTGAATCTAGCCCTTGTTTATTTATTTCCCTCTCCTCTCTCCTTCTCCGTTGCTCTGCACGGGCCTCTCTCTTTGCTGTACTTCCACCTGTCTCCCCTGTCCGCTTAACTCTTTATCTCCGGCGCATTTTTCTCCTCATACACCACATCAACCCTCCATCCTCTTACCTGGATAATATCAATTGATATACCGACTACTATCAAGCTGTGACAAAAAAAACCCATATTTCCCCAGACTCTTTCACTCACAGGGAGCCAGATAACTATTTTACATGAGCTGGCCTTCCAACACTATGCTGTATCCATTTCCCTCTCATCTCAACACTTTTTTTTTTGCATGCTCTCTTTCCTCGGCCTACATTTCATCTTTTTCTCTGGGGAATCTTTTTAAGTGATATTCAACTGAGTACACTTATCGGCAGCTGTTAAACTGAGAGACTGAGTGGTGTCCGTGGTTATTCTGCGCTGTTTGCTAAGCCATTAACAACAGAGAGAAGTCAGTGTTTCAATGGGATGATATATGTGTTTGTTCAAGACTGCGGCACTATTCTGACTGTGTGCGCGTGTCTCTATCTGTTTCAACCAGGTGTGTGTTGGCACACGCGCGCCGGCTTTGTAACAGTTGTTATGACAGCAATAACTCTCTGGTTTCTGGTCATTGCAGTCAAGAGGCCTCCAATGATCATCACACAGCCGGAGTCTGTCACCGTCTTCAGCATTGAAGACTTCGTCATGAGCTGTGAAGCCGCTGGCAACCCTTTACCCATGTTAGTCATCACACACTAACACCCACGCAAACAGTCTGAAGATGTTGTTCTTGGTCACGTTGGAGCCCAGCCACTACTTATCTTTTTTGACAACTCAAAAAAACGTTGACCTTCCTTCCTCCTTGTTCAACTGACATCTGAACATTAGTATTACATGAGAGCACAGCTTGTACCAAGCTGAGTCCTCATTTCAACAAGGGATGAATGTCATTAAGCCCTGGAGCAATCTTTTCAGAGTGTCTTAGCTGCTCCGACGAGGAAAACTGCTCCAATTGCACAGGAAAAGATGAATATCGCAATTACACAGCTCAGGCTTATGAGTCCCGCTGGGGCATCCACTGTAAAATTTGCATCAATTAATTTGTAACCTCAAATTCAATGACATGGATGGAAGTCTTCTGTGTGTTCAAAAACGCCTTTTTCAAAACCATGGAAATGATTTGGCTTCAAATATTTATAGTGAACATTGTCCCATCAGCGTGACTGTTTCATTTGTTTTTACACTCAAGTTTCCGATGGACAAAGGATGGAGGGGAGTTTGACCCGGGCACTGACCCCGAACTGAAGGTTTTGGAGCGCCCCGGCTCATTTGCGTTCTTCTCGCTCGGTAACAACATGGACAGCTTGAAGCAGTACCAGGCCAAATACGTGTGCTTCGCATCCAACGAACTGGGGACAGCCGTCTCTAACGAGGCCAAACTCAACACCGACGGTAAGAACATGGCGATTCAATTGAATTGTTTCCAAACAAATTGCTTCACGTTAGAGGAGTTACGTGCCTTTTGTAGGTGTCCGTTTCAGGGCTTGAGCACCTGTAAACACTGTCACGGTGCAGAGAGATGTTGTTGTTTTTTTCCAGCATTAACAGAGTGATTTACAATGCTGCCGGCGCAGCCAGCGTACAAACCCTTTCCACGGCCCGCTTCACACAGAGCTCATTTGTTAGAAGATGGAGGCTTGCACCGAGAAAATAACATGATGCTCAGCACTCACGCACATATCAACACGCGCACGCACACGCCCCGTGGGCAAAAGTAAAGAGCACCTCTGTGTATCCATCCACCTGTGCGACTGGCTCTCTCCCGAGCGACCTCCATCCGTCACAGTTTCCCTGACAACGGTTTCCACAGAAACGCTTTTGAGCCGGTGTCATGTGAAGCACTCTTCGGTTCCTCCTGTGGGGTTACCAGCGATGGGCAGGAGGGAGTCGGGGAAGAGGGAAGGAGACATTAATCACAAATCAAATAATTTTAAAAGGCTTAAGACAACCTGCCGCCTTTTCACACGCTTCTCCCCTTCTTAACTGGATTAGTGAAGGATACTCCCTGTTCACGGCATTGCGTGTTTTCAGTTGACTGTTGGGATCGGTTGTCTCAGGAAATAAATGTAATATGATAACCTCAATGAGGATGATAATAAATGCAAAGGTGTGTGTTTGTCTACGGATCGCCATGAAAGAAGACTTATGTTTTGTCTTCCCTCCCTTTAGTTCTCCCCTCCCAGCAGAAAGAAAAGAAGGGTAATGAGAAGTCTGAAGAGGGAAACAGTATTATTCTCAAGTGTAACCCTCCGCAGAGCTCGATGGAGCCCAACATTCACTGGATGGACTGGAGTGAGTACATCTCTCCTTCCCTTACATTCTTACTCAATAAATCTACCCCTTAAACATCTATCTGTCCTTTTGTGTTCTACTAGCATCAGATTTATTTCTGAAACAATATAATGTTTCAATATTTTTTTTTTCTTTCTCAATGTCCAGAATCTGCTTTCATGCATTTATCTTTCCGTGTACGGTATTATTTTTCTTCAGTGCCCTTTATCCAGTGGGAAGAGTCTATTCCCGCCCCTTTTCTCCCTGTCTTTATTATCATTTTTCTAATTCTAAGTCTCATCCAATCGTTGCCTTACAAACCTATTCTAGGTTCAAACATATTCTATTTCCTCTCCATATTCTCCCTCTCTGGTTTCCCTTTTCTCCTGCTGCCTCTACCTGTCATCAATGTGTCTTTCATATCCTCCCCACCCCTCTCTACAGGACTACACCATATCCAGCTCAGTGAGCGAGTGGTCGTGGGGAAGGATGGCAACCTTTACTTTGCTCATTTGACACCCGAGGACAGCAGGAACGACTACACGTGCAATGTCCAATACCTGGCGACACGCACCATTCTGGCAAAGGAACCCATCACTCTGAGTGTAATCCCATGTGAGTTTTGTTCTCGATCCGCTGACAGTAGACTGGACTCACTGCACCTAACCTGATTCCATCTTTAGGTTGAGGCTACTTCTATTTCCCCACCATACACTCAATAGCGATATAACCATTTCTCTCAAAACCTGTTTTTTATCAGAGAAATCTGTTATACTCTATTGGTCTGTATGTGAAATTTATACATAGTCAACATAATCATGTGTTGAGAACCGCTGAAGTCTCAAACTTCCATACCAAAGTCATCCCACCCCCATGTGGTGGCCTGTAGTGCTGACGAAAGCAGTTCCTCGTCCAGCCGATGCTCACACAGCCGCCGGCTGTCCCCTCCTCAACCCGGTTGTAATGAGATGCAGCTCACACTGAGATGTGGCTGCCAGCATCTGCGGCCCAACTAGAGGTCGGAAAGATGAGCAGTTGTTAACATGAGACCTGTGTGTGTGTGTAAAATCTATACTCTGCTTATGTCTGTGTTTGTTAGTCATTAAAGCGGCCGCATGTATCAACAGAGCGGTAAATCAAATATTACATACGTATGAACATTTTCATCCGTATTGTGTTTCCGCCTCTGCAGCCAACTCTGTACTGCGGAACCGGAGGCCCCACATGATGAGACCTACTGGAAGCCACAGCACTTACCATTTCCTCAGGGGCCAGACCGTGGAGCTCGAGTGCATCGTCCAAGGCCTGTGAGTGTCCTTGTCTGCACACATTTCTGCTCCCTTCATGCAGAAAACTTGCACCGTATAATCAATCTTACTCAGGTCTCACACATTCCTCTTCCTTCCTCCTACGTCCCATTTCTCTCCGTTGAACGTGTTCCTTCCTCTGTTGCATCACTATATCCCCATCCTTGTGATCCTCTTACGCCTCTTCCTCCCCTCTCTCCTCTTCGACAGTCCAACTCCCAAAGTTTCATGGGTGAGGAGAGACGGCGAGATGTCTGAGTCTCGGGTGGTCAAAGAGATGTTCAATCGCCGCCTGCGCTTCAGTAACATCTCAGAAAGCGACGGCGGCGAGTACCAGTGTTTGGCTGAGAACTCCCAAGGGAAGGCCACACACACTTACACTGTCAATGTGGAAGGTACGACACACACACACACACACACATGTATTAACAGTGGATTGAATGTGGGTGAAGGGTGATTTGAGCAATATAATGGCAACTACAATAATCCATAATCAGAATTGATGACATTACTGTATCCTTTATTCATAAATCGAAAATTAACATACTATAAATACAGACCTTACACTTAGTTTTTTTTTTTCTTGTGCTGTTTGGACTTACAGCGGCTCCCTATTGGATCAAAGAGCCACCCAGTCAGTTATACGCCCCAGGTGAGACTGTCAAGCTACACTGCCACGCTGACGGCATCCCCAGTCCTACCATCAGTTGGACCATCAACGGGATCCCCCTCTCAGGTCAGCACATAAAGCAAACTATACGTGTCTCAACGCACGACCTCGGGCCCTGTGGATGCGCTGACAGCATTTTTTACAGCAACCGACAAGGACTCCAGACGTTCTCTGACAACGAGCGGGGCTCTAATACTAAAGGATGTCGACCTGGGAGACACTGCCATCTATCAGTGCCAGGCCTCCAACAAGCATGGGACCATCATCACCAACACCAACGTCTATGTCATTGGTGAGTGTTTGTTTTGTCACTTATTAAGCAGAGTTGTGGGTGTAGGTCTCTGTGTGTCTCATTTCTCTTTGTGTGCGTTGTTGCAGAGCTGCCTCCCCAGATCCTGACTGAGGATGGGATTACAAACACGTTTACAGAGGGCCAGAAAGCTGTATTGGAGTGTGAGACCTTTGGCTCTCCTAAACCTGAAGTCACATGGTGAGATACGACCATTGTCCTCTGGTGCAATATATTCCAGTGCCTTATCTGGTCGATTTTCCCTGTTAACAAATTCCACGGTGGTGTCATAATTGCGTAGGTGGCTGTTCATATGCATTAATTAACAGTAAAATACTGTTACATCTGGGCTATTACTCTGAATTCTGCCAGTTTGAGAGAGACCCAGCCAGGCGTTGTTATTTTGGTGTCAATTAAACTGAATTCATTATCCCCTACAGGAGCTTAAAAGGTTTATTTCTTGCTTCGCTTTACCGGGTTTACGATGTGTGCGTTTGTGTGTGCATGTCACGTGTGTCTTTTGCAGGGAGAGCGGCAGCACCACCTCCCTTCTGGCAGATACCAGAGTGAATCAGCTCATCAACGGGGTGCTGGAGATCTCCAATGTCACCCATGACGATGAGGGCTTCTACACGTGCTCAGTAGAGAACACCAACTTGTCTGTCAGCACCGAGCTGGAAGTCCTCAGTGAGTGGACGGACGCACACACAAACACACACACTCAGTGACTGACTCATACACATATAGGGAGTTGCAGCTTGCCTTAGCGCTGTGTGTCTGTTTGCTCTCTCCTCCAGACAGGACAGTGATCCTGTCGCCTCCACAGGATCTGAAGGTGCAGCGTGGAAACACGACAATCTTCACTTGTCGGTCCCTGGTTGACCGCAAACTTGGCTCTCCGCTCATTCAGTGGAGAAAAAACAATCAAAAGATCGCTGAGTCCCACGCTGACGGAAAGTAAGACAAAATTCTATACAAAAATGAGGTACTGTATAGTTTAATGACAGAATGGGTATTTTATCCACTGATTTGTTAGGTTGTTTCAAGCACGGCAAGAGAGAATACACATTAGCCTTAGAAACCCTATAAACATTACATTTCTGTTCCCGTATAACGTTTTGTGTGTTGACTCACCATGGGGAAAAAAGTAATGGGAAAAGAGGAACAATGGTAGTTGAAGGGGGAGTAAGATAAAGATGTCATTATTTCTTAAGGTACACAATTGATGGACCAGACCTGAAAATAGCTAACGTGGAAACAGATGATGAGGGCGTGTACACCTGTCAGGTCATTACTAAGTACGACATGGCTGAAGCCAGTGGCTCTCTCACTTTATGGGGTAAGATGAATGAAAAGGCAAATGTATGTATTTTCAACAACTTTCACAGTGCGGATGGTTGTAGTGATGACGTTGTTGTTGTTTTCCCCCTCAGACCGTCCAGACCCTCCGGTCCTCCTCCAGATCACTAACCCCAAACATCGTGCAGTCACCCTTAGCTGGACTCCCGGAGACGACCACAACAGCGCTGTGCTAGGTTTACAGACCAACACACACTCGAGATGCATGCACATATGCAAACATCTTTGTTTTCCTTTTCTGCTTTGTTAAAACTACTTTAATATGGACAGTGACTTGATTTCTGGATTTGGTGCTTTTAGAATATTTGTAATGGTGCCATCCAGCAAAGAAATGCACTGACTCACAAACACGCACATGCATACATACAAACACACACACACACACACACACGCACACACACGCATGCACGCATGAAATGCAAACATAAATCTTTTCTAACTCCAATTCTCCAATAAGAGCATCAAACCCATATCTTCCTCTTCCCCTGGCGATATGAAAGGCTGCTCTGTTTTCATTACTGAGACAGGACTAACCTTATTTGATCTGCAGCATCAGACTTTTGTAAAGCTCAAATTGTATCTGTATGACTTTATTGCTACTGAGTGTTGATTTTATGTTTCTATTGCTTCCTTATGTTTACAATCTGTCTCTCTCCATCACCACTTGCCCCCGTCTCTCTCTCTCTCTCTCTCTCTCTCTCTCTCTCTCTCTCTCTCTCTCTCTCTCTCTCTCTCCCTCTCTCTGAAGAGTATGTGGTTGAGTTTGAGGACCAGGGTTGGAATGAGAGGGGATGGGAAGAGCTGACGAGAGTAGCAGGAAACAAGAAGCGTGCTGTCCTCCCTCTGTGGCCTTACATGTCTTACCGTTTCCGGGTCATTGCCATCAATTATGTGGGGAAGAGCGTCCCCAGCAAGCCATCCGAAATCCACAATACACCTGCTGATGGTTAGAGACCGTTTTTGTTGTGACGTCATGCGTTGCAATTTAAAAGTACACTCACAATGACACCACAGTAAACTTCCTTTCCAATCACAGCTCCGGACAATAACCCTGAAGATGTGCGGAGCGAGTCCAAAGCGCCAGAGACCCTGTTCATCACCTGGGAGGTACACATATCGCCCGCATCTGCTAATTATCTTAAGCAGCATCGAGCCAGTGGTCTCTGCATCTTTCTGTACATTTATTGTTCGGTGTTACTGCAGGAAATGGACCGACGTGACTTCAATGGACCTGACTTTAAGTATTTAGTCCTGTGGAGGCGAGTTGTGGGCAGCGGACCCAAGTGGAACACCAACTACACGAAAGCACCGCCGTTCACGGTCTATGACATTGGTAACTTTTCTGCCTTTGAGATCAAAGTTCAGGCTGTCAACGAGAAAGGGGAGGGACCCGAGGCAGACCCCGTCATCGGTTACTCAGGAGAAGATGGTAAAAAAAATAAGGAGAAGCTTTTCTTGAACTGGGAATATTTCTACTTAGTATTTTGTTTCACCTTTGACCTTCCTGTATGTTGCAGTTCCATTGGAGGCTCCAATGAATGTGGTTGTTACCTTAATGAACAGCACAACCATCATAGTGAGCTGGGCAGCTGTGGACAAAGAGACGGTCAGAGGACACCTGCTGGGATACAAGGTACTGCTCCTGTATCTCCTATTCTGTTTCATATTCAGCCCCTGTCCTCATTACCGATGCACATCTAGGGGTTTAAAGCGGAGGCAACCAGCCTTTAGCTGTGAAGGTTTGTTAAGTGATGTCCCTTTCAGAATGTATCACAACACTTCCCTGTCTCTCTCTGCATCATCCATCTAACATCACATAATACATGCCGGTTTTAATGCCATATTAATATGTACTATGATTTACTCGTTCGTCATTTCATCATGGCTGATTGATGATTCCGTGGCTTCAGGTCTACTTGACCAGAACCGGCACCAGGAGCCACCACAGGGGCCGAAGGTCCAGGGAGCCAGAGAGCACTCAGGTGTTGGAGACAGGGGCAAACGAGGAGCAGAAGTTGATCAGTAACCTCAGACCATACTCCCACTATGCCCTGGTCGCCACCGTGTTCAACAGCAAGGGAGAGGGACCGCCGTGTGAGACTTTGTCCTTTAAGACTGACGAAGGAGGTGAGAAAGAGAACAAGAGGAAAACCGAGACAAAGATTTCAAAAAGGAAAAGGCACTGTATCCAGAGATCGAGTGGGGTGTGAAGAGACGGCGGGGGGAAATTGATGTAGAGATCAATATTATTGAGTTGTTGGAAAATAGGTGACAGTGGATCATAATAGTGTACTAATCCATTTTACACTGAGCAAAGAGAATTCTAATCAGGTACGTTTGTGTTTGCTGCTAGTTCCTGGTCATCCCACGTCCCTGATGCTGGACAGCCCGTCAGAGACAGAAATGACCCTCCACTGGGCGCCACCTGCCGAGCCCAATGGAGTCCTCGTTGGATATCTGCTGCAGTACCAGCAGAGTGAGCACCGTTCACACACTTGTCTCACAAAGTAACCAACAGCAGGCTCATCAATAGTTTAGTTTACCTAATAAATGAGTCCATGCTGCAGTAAAAACACCATGAATGTAACCACACACTCCCAGCTACGTCAGTGCTCATCGGTCAGTCAATGTGTGCCCCATGTGTTGAAGATCGTGTTGTGATTGAGTGTTTTCTCCGCTGCTCAGTTGTGGAGAGTGACGACAGCCCCATGCAGGTAGAGACAATAGACGGCACCGCGGTCACCCACCTCACCATGAGAGGCCTGGACCCCCACAGCCACTACCGCTTCTTCCTGAGGGGGCGCACTGCCGCGGGGGATGGAGAGCCTATCATGAGGGAGGGGGCCACCACGCTGGACGGAGGTACAAGGAGTTCCTCAGTCCTACCTGTCAGAAACAGGGTCGGATTGTGCAAGATGTAGATATTCATTCCACGGTCTGAATGTCCACAGCGCCTCCTGCCAATATCGAACTGTCCCCCGGCGAAAACTTTGTTAACCTCAGCTGGGTGGCCAAGAAGAGACACAGGAACGTGGGCTTCCAGATATACTACCTCAAGAAAAATGGTATAGTGCACAAGTATAGTCAGCCTTTTAAAACCAAAAATCTAGCTAGGGAATAGTTTCACAAACCTAAACAGCAGAAAGGAAACCCAAGTTCTTGTCATGTCTCTGCAGAGGTCGTGGAGAAGACAGCAAAGGTGAACTCCTCCCAGTCCTTCTACCAGCTCCAGGGCCTGACTCCTGGCTCTAATTATCATCTACGCTTCACCTACAGCAACAGCACTTTCTTGGAGAAGGATATCAAGACAGACGGAACCGGTACTTTCGAGTGTTCCGCCTTCATTACTCCTATTTTTCTTTCATCTCCTTCGCTCTCTCCTCTGGGCTTCCCACATTTATATACTAAGCCTGAGCCCACAGAGACTGCCTTTCTGCAGTTCTCTCCACTTTCTGCTTTCAAAGTCTCTTGTGAAAATAAAGCTGCAGTGATCCATTACTTTGTTTGTTTGCCGTATTGTGCTGTCGTCTTTGGTTCCAAAGCCGGCTGTACCACCCTGTCAGAATGAATGTGCTCTTTCGCTCTTGATTCTTTGTTTCATCTTTTGTACTTTCATCCAGTTTCCCCGTTACAAACATACACTCACTTCTCTCCTCCCCCCCCGACTCCTCTTTTCTCTCTGAAAGGAGTAACAGAGATGCAGCCCAGTTTTGCAACGCAAGGCTGGTTCATCGGTGTTGTGAGTGCCGTCGTGCTGCTGCTGCTGATACTGCTTATCCTCTGCTTCATCAAGAGGAGTAAAGGGGGGAAGTATTCAGGTAAGTGAAGCCCACCAAGACCAGTTTAAAGCAGTCAGAAAAAAAATTGTTGACGACAACTTTTTTTTTTTTTTTTACTTTATATCCAGTTTTTCTTCTGACCCCGTCTGTAAGAACAACACAATGTTAGCACAACACAACTGCCGTGTCACACTCCACACAAGCTTTGTGGAAGAAACTCAACAGCCGGCTGGAGCCGTAAAGCTGATAATGAAAATTAAACTGTTGTAGAAAAAGAAGCCTTGCGGTTACAGGAATGCACAACAGTAAACAAGGTGATTCTTACTGGAAAGACAACCGAATAAATCACTTCTTGTCACTTGGCCCGACTTTTCCCCGGCAGCTTTGGCAGGAAACATGTAGCCAAACAGACCTCTAAGCCTTCAGTTCCTCTCTGTGACAGTAAGAGGTTCAGCTATGGAAACAACTGCATAAATGATGATAACCAACCTGTGCGCTATTGTCTGAGTAACGAACCGACCTTTCATCAACTCCCCCACATGACCGAATAAAAAGTGGCCTAAAAAAGGGCTAGTTGAAAAATACATCCACTGGCAGTATAATTCTGAGTGATTCATTGTTTTAATTGTTTAGAGTTTTAACAGTAATATCAGTGCTATCCATTATGTTCAAAGTTAGGGGAGAAATTAAGTCAAATGTCAAACTACATAAACACAAATATTCTAATAAGCCAGATATTTTTTCTCCATAGACACAATTTTTTTCTTTCTCTTTTTCTCTATACTGCAGTTTAGAAAAAAAAGATGTTGAGACCTTACTGATAATAACATCCAACAATCTTCTCCATAGTGAAAGATAAAGAGGAGGGTCCGATGGACTCAGAAGCACGGCCGATGAAGGATGAGACTTTTGGAGAGTATAGGTTTGTCCTCCTCCTTTCCTTTTATGGCGTTTCATTCTGTTTGAATAGATCATTCTAACTCCCAGCCTTGATTCCCTGAGCACTATTTGCTTTCCCTAACCCCGTGTGCTCCTTTCATTGTCCCTCCTCTCCCTAATGCCTGCTCCTGCAATGCAGATCCCTCGAAAGGTATGCTGGGATGTCATGTGCTTTGCCATCCCAAATCCACATTATGATGCATGTCAATGCCTTACTTACCTATACCTTACTTATATTTGGCATGTTATTGGACTAAATGATTATGAATACTTTTTTATCGACGATTCACTTATTCTTTGCCGCCTCGCACCTCAGCGACCTCGAGGGGAAGCGCACGGCCAGCCAGCCGTCCCTGGGTGAGGACAGCAAGCTGTGCAGCGAGGACAACCTGGACTTCAACGGCAGCAGCGCCGTGACCACCGAGCTCAACATGGACGAGTCTCTGGTCAGCCAGTTCAGTCGGCCCAGCGAGGGTCCAGAGGCGCCAGACAACTCCCCGCTCGGCCCCACCGCCGTCTCCTCGGCCACCAACGGCGTGCCCAACTCAGTCGCCATACTCGATTAACCCCAAACTTCCACCGGGGGGGCCATTAGACCAAAACATGTCAACACGTATGTGCCCATGCATTCCTGTTCCCTACCGACTTGCTGATCTGTAGTGTAATGACTAATATACAATCAATGTATTGACTATTCAGATGCCCCTGGCAGTCATCTGATCGACCGGACTGTTTTTGACCAAAGGAGTGTCCAAAGTAGTGGACAATGTAACACGAGTTTGACTGACCTGAAGATGTCTTTTTGACGCCCCCCTCACCCTCCTTTTACCTGTGTAGTTTACAACGTATCTTAATGGCTAACACTCATTTCCCTCCCTTTCTTCTCTTTCTTTCTCCTCACAAACAACTCAATAGAAAGATAAAGACAGAATGTGCAGAAGGTGCTGTGGAGATGCAGAGCAGTGGTTTGGAAGAGGGGGTTGGTGGTAGAAACCTAGCAGGGGGAAGCAGGCAGCACATGCTGCTGTAAAAGCTCTTAGATATTTATCACGCCTTATTTGATTTCACATATTTCTACGTCTAATGCCATTTGATGTCTCAGATTGTACTCGTCAGTGACATTTTATTTGTGTGTTTGAATACAAAACATCCTTTTTTTAATCACCATTTTTAATTTATATCATCACTTTTTAATATTTTTTTTACGCTATTTATATAAAACATATTTCACAGATGATGTTTTCATTGAAACTAAGTAAAGCCAAGTTTCTTATACTATAAATAACATTGGATGCATTATGGGAACTTGCTGTGAACATGCTGAGTAGCATCTGGTGTATATCGCTGCATCTACATCTATCTATTTAGCCATAATACAGTATTATAGATATGTACATGCTCCTTATAAGTTCCTGTGCCTGCTGGGTCTGCATAGAGCACCAGATTGATGTCATTACTCTCTCGCCTTCCCACCAGAAGTGTGATGTCATTATTGGAAATGATATTGTAATTTTTTGTGTCGAGACCTTTGTGTAGCTTTCTGTATCTGTCATAGTCTCTTTCTACACTGTATTAAAAACATAGTTGTCTCTAATTAACAATCTTTCCACACCTGTCCATCTCATATTCACTAACAGTTTGAGGAGCAGTATCGATGTATATTTACAGATCGGAGAGTGGAGTCTTGTGGGCAAACACTCTCATGCTTTATTTTCAGACCCTTATCAATACAAGTTAATAGTGCAGACAGGCAGAATGATTGCCAGTTGATGTATAATAAAAGCAAGCAGTTGGTATTTACATCAAACACAGAGAATGTATTCATTTCCGTGCTGGGTTGACATTGTATTTACATGCTACTGATTAAAAAAAAATCTGAGATACAAGGTGTGGTTTTGACTAAATCATTTTTTTCTTCACAAAATGTGAACACGCTTGTAAGATTGTTTTGATATAAAATGTGAAAAATGTTTGAAAGGTTTGAACCACTTAACTTAATTTGAGCTGTCATTTGTCTTCTTTGTACCATTGCTATAAATTTAAACTTTCCATTTTTGGCAGTGATATTTGATGTTTTAGCAAAAAATGAATTGACAGGAAAATAATTTAAAGACATTCTGTAGATGTTTGCAAACGTTTCCAAATTCAAAATGATTAGTTGCACCTATTTATTTTAAGACTTAGCATAACAGCAAACGCTATTTGCCTTCACACCCATAACCATCTTGCAATGAACTGCAGTGCAGTGAATATCTACCGTGTGTATCACTTTTTGTACCACTGGCCAAACTCCACCTGGCAGTCCCTGAGGTAATGCACTATATTAACAGACCAGTGGCACTGAAGGAAGTGTGTCTAAGCTCCATGTTGTTGGTTACACACACACACTCAGGACAAACAAAACTTTTGAAAATCTATCCTTTCATACAGAAGCGACGAATGACACAAAATATGCCAATATTCTAACTTAACTATCTGCTGCTACACATCTGTGTTTGTCAGTGTTCAGGGCAAATGTTAGCTTTGAATGAGGAATGAGTGTACACAAACAGATACTCACTCGACTGCCACTCACTCTTTGCTTTTCATGTGTCGAGGGGGAGACTGAGGACACTAGTCTCTGCTTTTCCACTATTGATTTTTGCCTTTTTTTAAGCTTAAAAAAGAAACATTCCATTGTCATAAGCTTCTTCAGAACTAAAAAAAAACAACAGATTTTAAACGGCAATGCCTGCGTGCAAGGGAGGGGTAAGTGAAAATAAGGCAAAGAAGAAGGCAGGAAGTAGTGGTAAGTGTGTGTCATGGCCGGGTGTGGATGGGGCTCTTTGTGTTGTGTGCTGTGCACAATGGGACAATGATGGGACCTATATGCATCATGGCTAATCGACGGGAGGTGGGTGTATGTGTACTACATATGGAACAAATAAAGTGTCCCTCTTTGTCATCAGCATCTGTAGATAAAATCAATGCACGTGTTTCCTCTCAGTAAGTAAGCTGGATGCATTGTCTAAACAACATTCAGTGTATTGAGTGTGCATAATAGATTTTATTAGTACATTGTCACACAGCAACAAGCCTTCGTACAGTGTGATCAGCGGGAGCTGGTGTTGAATTGATGAAAGTAGTCCTTGCTGGGTTTGTTGGTGTATAGCTTCTTGTTCAGGTACTCCTGGCTGGGGCACACAGAGACACACACAATCTAAAACCGAATCCTACATCACAGTACTAAAAGATATTTGCTGAATGGGGTCTGAATAGTCAGTGCTCACTGTGCCTGTTGCTCTCTGGCCAGCTGCATGTTGTAACGGGCTGTTTGAATCCTCTTCTGTCTCCTCATCTCTTCTGCTCCCCTTTCCTCCTCCTCTGCTTCTCTGGACAGCTTCAGCAGCTGCAGTTCGTAAGCTACATCCTGTATCTTTTGAGCTTCACGTTGTCTCTGAGGACAGAAAGGAAAGGGTCTAAATCTGAGTGGAAGTCTTACTGTATATGGAATAGTGCATTTAAAGCTTAAACATTACTCAAAATCTGCACAATAAATTGGAGTTTGGAGATGATTCATAGGATAAGATGGAAGAAAAAACAGCAAATTTATCGTTAGACCTTAGACTCATATATGATTTAACTTCTCCATGCCTCTTAAATGAAATAAATCCTCTTTGGTCGCACCGTTTAGAGACATGCAACGTGTGAAGAAAGGTTTACAGGTACACAAATTAAAGGGGAAAACTAATACATTAGTAGAGGAATATAATAATATAGTTTTGAAGATAGAAATGCCCAAAAGAGGAGCTTTGAGCAAAGCAGGATGTGGTTGGGCTGTGAACTCCTCACTGTAAGCTTGCACTGTGTTTTAGGGTCACTCAAGTACCTGTCTCTCAAAACGCTGTTCTTCTCTCTCCCTGTGGATGGCGCTCAGCTGCTCAGGGCTCATCCCCTTCCACCTGTCCACCAGAACCAGTGGGCGCCTCCCTTCTCCAGTCTGTCTCGCCCCCTCTGCACACTCAGTCATCATATCGGACGTCAGAGTGTGCCACATCTCTGCTACATCCTCTCTTTCCTCGCTCTTCTGCTGCACCTTCAGTGCTTCTGCCCGCTCTGCAGCCTGTGGGGAGAAGTACATGACGGGGCCTCACCACTGATGCGCGGACAGTTGATTGATCATTCCCTTGGTGGATAGCAGGAGATTTACAAAACCTAACCTCTAAAATGTGGTCACTCCTAACGTAGAGCCAAGAGTCAGCCAAATGTTGAATATCCCCCTGAGATCCACTCAGCTGTGTTTGCTTGTGCATTGTGCATGAGAGTGGTTATTAGAGAAAACACATAATTGTCATGAATAATACCATGACCTGAAGGATTTATAATGATGCTTCCCAATGGAGGATTTAGCCGAGTGAGTTCTGGCAAATGAGGAGTGTGCTAAATGGAGGCTTTTAAGAACAGACAGGGCTCACGCATACATCAATGTAAGCAGTGTAACCATCCATGTTGCTTGGTACCAACTAATGTGATGGCCGCCCTCCTGCGGCAAGTGTGTGTACGCATCACTTCACGTTTTCAATTAGCAATTTCCATTTCAAAATTCCACACGAGAACACCATGTGTGGGCTCAAAACCCCAGTGGGTTTCGCTTTGAGCATCCACATGATGTGCATGTGGTGCGTGCATCTGTGTGTCGATGTGTATGTGCATTGTGCACACGTATGTACTGTACCAGAGATTGATTGTAGTTATCGAGTGCGATGCAGGCAGCTTTCTTGCACTCCTCCTCTAGTGCACGTAGCTGAAGCCCCCTGAGGTCCTGATGCACCAGTTCTCTGCCTACCAGCATCGCTATGAAACACACACAAAGCTCTTCAATGGCACACTCACACATCCATGGCAACACTTTGAGATGAGCATCCATCAATGCCACCTGGCATTGAGGGCTGTGCGTAGGAGTGTGCGATTGTTTGTGCAGGAAAGCGTGAAGCACGTGTGTGATTTACAGAGGCTTTAGCATGCAGCATATTAGCTCACAAATGGTAAAAAACAGGGTGTGTGCACTTGTGTTTGTCACACCTCACCTTTGTGCTTGTCTCCCAAAAGCCTCCTCTCATTGTCCTCCTTCTGTGTTCGCAGATCTCTCTCTGTCATCTTCACTTGTTCTCGCCGCCTCTGCTCTTCTCCGATACCCTCTCCCTGTATGACACAAAACAGGGGTTAAGGCAATTCAATCATTTATTACATTGATTGCTAGGTTTTGTCCCAAAGGTTTTTAGATTGACACACGGGTCCTACCTGGAATATTGTCATACTGGCAGGCCCCAGCTCCCCCTCTGGAATGGTGACCCCGAATGCCCCCTTCAGGCCAGACTTGAGATTCACATCGCTTGAGTCCTCTGCACGTTGACGAGTGGCCCAGTACTGGGTCAGGCCAGTGTGTAAAGCTGCTTGCTTCTCTCTTTCATCGATGTCTCGCTGAATCAGTGCTTTATCGTGATATTCTCTCAGCTGATCTGCAATGCAGTGAAAATAAAGAGACTTGTGATCAATGCTTATTAGTGGTGAATGGTGATTTCAGAAATGGACATAACCTAAGGCAATATGCCTTTAGAAGAGTCTGTGTTAATAGGTGTTCAACGGATTCAATTCCTCACTGGTTCTCAAGATGCACATATTTTACCATACGCTTTGTCCCGTTGTTTCTCCATGTTCTGCTGATGTTTTTTCTCATGGACCTGTTGGTTGAGAGCATTAAGGTCGAGGCCCAACACACGCTGCCGGGTGTTGAAGATCCGGGCCTTGCGTGCCATTTCTGCAGTCCTTCGCCTCTCCAAAGCCTTTTCTATGGAGGAGTCTGAAGGCAAATCCGCTTTGTACATTTTCTCAGTTTCTAATGAAGAACGGAAAGAGCAGACACAGCATTACAGAACTGGTTATTATCGCTGGTAGCTTTGCTTTAAAGAATACAGTGTACCCAATTGACCATCAGGCACTGAACCTTATGATTCGATCCTATTCTGACCTGACAACACACCAAAACCTGTAGGTCTCGACTCTTTTGGGGAGGTATCTTAAATGTGCAGACGGAGACCGTTAATCTTAAGCAATACTTACATTTAATGTAATAAATTTAGCTGGACAAATGTGCTTAATTAAGGGTCCTAGCAGGGAGAAGCACGGAACAGCCCGGTGAATCCGTGTCGACGGTTTGATCCCGTTTTGTTGTGATGCCCTTGGTAACCATGGTTACCCACGGTATTTGCAGCTGCATGCTAAGTGCTTTGGTCACAAACCACAACAATGAAGTGGACCGGAATCAAGCACTAAAACTAAGATAATGTTTATATATATTCTAAATGGGCTTTTTGACGTTGGTGGTTAGCAGTACCGCGGTCATGAGAGCCGCTGCTGGTAATCTCGCGATAAACTATGAGGTTTCGTGTCTCGCGCGCTCGAGCGTCTTCCTGTGAGATTGTAAAATGGCGCATTGTTGTCACCGCCGCACCGCGTCTATTTGTTTAGGATTATGAAGCTATTTAGATTATTAAACTAAACATGCACTTCATAATGGGACATACGCATAGGCCAGCAATAGATTGAACAGAGCGGTTCCTTTATTTGCGTGCATACACCGTCTTCGAGCTTGTTTGCTCGGTAAACATCGGTTGGTACCATTAGCTAGCGAGCTAACATTTTACTAGCTATAGCTGCAATATTCACTGTTTTCTTTTTACCACAACAACGAAGATGGGTTATTTAAAACTGATAGAGATTGAGAACTTCAAGTCGTACAAAGGAAGACAGATCATTGGGCCTTTTCACAAGTTTACTGCAATCATCGGACCCAATGGATCTGGTATGTTATGATTGCAAATATTAACTTGCGGCTAATGCAATTTCTAGCTAGCATCGACGAACTGTAAACACTGCAGCCATGTCCCGTTATCTTTAACGTTAGATGTTATAACCTGTATCGTAAATATGATGTATGTCTGACTCACTCAACACAGTTGAATAACGTTACATGTCGTTCTAATTATATTGCTGGCTAACGTTACCATTCTGCAATTAAATTTACTTTAATTTTGTGACGTTATGTGTCGTAACAAAAATTAATACAATGTTTGTGTGCAGAACAATCACTCTGTAGTGGTCATGATAATCAAATCTTTGCCTCATTAATATACTCACATTTCTTCGCAACGTTATTTTTTGTAATTTGTCATATTTGAAAATGTGATTTGAAAAAAAAAAAATGTAGCAAACGAACTGGTCGAAATGTCTCTCCCTCTCAGCCTTCCAATGAAATCTCACTAACTATTGCCTTTGGAATTAAGTTATCAGATTTAAACCATCGCCTCTAAAACAAGTACACTCCACAGATGTGACCCTAATAAACCTGTAACTCATAAGTATATGTATTTCTGTTTTCATATTGGATTTGTTTATGTTTGTCAACATTCTGAATGCTGTTGCAGGAAAGTCCAACCTTATGGATGCCATCAGCTTCGTGTTGGCAGAGAAGACAAGCAATCTGCGTGTGAAGACGCTCAAGGATCTCATCCATGGAGCACCTGTCGGAAAGCCAGCGGCCAACAGAGCTTTTGTCAGCATGGTGTACCAGGAAGATAACGGAGAGGAACGCTCCTTCACAAGGGCCATCATCGGTACGAACCGCCGTTCATGTGGTCACGTTGACTTGTGCGCTTCAACCTGCGTTCTCTTGAAATGAAAAACATCATTTGACAACTGTCGTCTTTCATTTATATCAGAAATTTGAAGTCATGAACTTTGTGTAAATATGGCCAAGCACGGTTGCAAAACTGAAAAAGAAAACTATTGCCAGTACTCGTTGTAAAAAAGTGCCTAAACTACAGAGAGATCTTAAGTCCTAATCTCTGCACAGCTTTATATGTGTCATTATATTGTAAACTATTAGTTAGGCAACACATGATTTTCTATAAATATGTTTATTATAAGACAATAGGCTTACCTTATTGCCTTTGATAAGTCAATGTGCAAATTCTTTAACTCCTTTACTGTGCATCAGGTTCCTCCTCTGAATACCGTATCAACAACAAGGTGGTGGGCCTGCCTGAATACAGCGAAGAGTTGGAAAAACTTGGCATCCTCATCAAGGCTAGGAACTTCCTGGTCTTTCAGGTGAGACGGAAATCCTAAAAATCTTTAGTTAGGTTAGGTTCCTTCATAGTTCTTCTAAACTAAGACAGCGGTTTCCGATCAGACAGTCATGCTTTACATTAATCTCAGAACATCTCATTTGGACAATTTAAGCAGAGAACTGGTTTTTTTTTCTGTGTTGAATCCATTTGCGGTAAAATGTAATTCCCGGTCTTTTTCTCCTTTCAGGGAGCTGTGGAGTCTATTGCCATGAAGAACCCTAAGGAGCGTACAGCTCTGTTTGAGGAAATCTCACGATCTGGAGATCTGGCTCAGGAGTACGAACGCAGGAAGAAGGAAATGGTGAAAGCAGAAGAAGACACGCAGTTCAATTACCATCGAAAGAAAAACATTGCTGCTGAGCGCAAAGAAGCCAAGCAAGAGAAAGAGGAGGTATGTGCTTTAATTAATTCTATGTATTTGTGCCCAGCTTGGATTGGAAATGAAATGCGTCATATAACTTTTGTCATTTTGGAATTTGACTCAATGTAGAGTTTAGTTGGTGAGCTGTGACTCCAATTAGGTTTACAATTAGTTTATTCTTTCGTTGTCTGACATATTATTTTTAACTCACTGGCCCCTTATCTCAACCGTCACACTCTTGAACAGCAGAGTTTTGATCCCAGTGTTGTCTGCCTCTGCGGCCATCTTTCCGACAGGCTGAGCGTTACCAGCGTCTGAAAGATGAAGTGGCCAGGGCCAGTGTTCAACTGCAACTTTTCAAGTTATACCACAACGAGACGGAGATTGAGAAGCTAAACAAAGAGCTGGGCCAGAGAAACAAGGAGATTGATAAAGACCGTAAACGGATGGACCATGTGGAGGAGGAGTTGAAGGACAAGAAGAAGGAGCTGGGCCGACTGATGAGGGAACAGCAGACCATTGAAAAGGAAATCAAGTAAGTGACAGCTACGTGGGAGCCCACTCAGACCTGGCTGGACCTACTCCCCAAATGCCATTTAAAACCTACGACTTTATTCATTACTTTACGAATCTGCCCACAGGGAGAAAGACTCAGAGTTGAATCAGAAGAGGCCGCAGTACATCAAGGCCAAAGAAAACACTTCTCACAAGATCAAGAAGCTCGAGGCAGCTCGCAAATCATTGCAAAATGCCCAGAAAATGTACAAGAAACGCAAGGGGGACATGGATGAGCTGGATAAAGAAATGAAGGCAGTGGAGCTGTCCAAGCAAGACTTTGAGGAGCGGATGGAGGAGGAGGCACAGAGCCAGGGCCAGGATCTCACCCTCGAAGAAAACCAGGTCTGGTATTCAAACGTTGAACACATTAGATCAAATCTTTTAGTTGATGAAATTGAAATATTGGTACTAATTCTTAATTCATACTGTATTAAGATTGCAGTAGAAATATTAGAGTATCATACTACCTGACTACTATATTTATTTTAAAAAGAATTCATGCTGGCACATACAGTAATCAAATTAGAGAAAATGTGCTTTCTTATACCTAGTTGAGATGGCTTTAGACCAACTGCTGATTCTCCCCTCGCAGGTCAAAGCATACCATCGCCTGAAGGAGGAGGCTAGTAAACGGGCTGCCACCCTGGCTCAGGAGCTGGAGAAGTTCAACCGCGACCAGAAGGCCGACCAGGACCGCCTCGACTTAGAGGAGAGGAAGAAAGTGGAGACGGAGGTAAATAATCGTCTGTTACAAACCCAATTGATTGAGCTTACTTGACTGCATGCAGCCAACTGTTGAATTGTTTCTTCCCAGGCAAAAATCAAACAGAAAATACGTGAAATTGAAGAAAACCAGAAACGTATTGAGAAATTAGAAGATTACATCACCACCAGCAGGTAAACTTCTTATTTTTGGATTGTTTGAACTGTGCAATGTTCAGCTTATTGATCCACATTTTTTTCCCATCCACTGTTTTGTCTTGTTCCCCCTCAGGCAGTCACTGGATGAGCAGAAGCGCATGGAGGAGGAGCTGACGGAGGAGGTGGAGATGGCAAAGAGGAGGATTGATGAGATCAACACGGAGCTTAACCAGGTGCTTAATAAATCCACAAGGAAGCAGAAGCAAATAACTTCTCATGTTATTTCAGTGTGCTATATTTGAGTTCATGATCTCTTGTTACCTCAGGAGGTAATCAGGAGAAAACTTCTCCAAATTTCTCCATGTACATCAATAAATGTGTCTCAATGCCGAAATCTGTGATCAGAAAAATAAATGACAGTTAGGTAAGCTGGTCGAGCTGGAACTGACATGTCATTCGTTACACCTGTGTTTGAGAAGCGAAAATATCGTCTGGGAAAAACTATAATGAATCCAATCATTTTTGGCGATGGCTGCAGGTAATGGAGCAGCTGGGAGACGCCAGGATCGACAGGCAGGAGAACAGTCGCCAGCAGCGCAAGGCTGAGATCATGGAGAGCATTAAAAGACTCTACCCCGGCTCTGTGGTAAGACTCGTGGGACAGTATTGGGCACACTATCATGTCATGTTCCAGCTGGTGTTTCCCTACGTTATGTAATGAAAATGTTGACTTCTGATTAGTAAAACAATGCTGCTTTGTCTTTGTGCAGTATGGTCGTCTGATCGACCTGTGCCAGCCCACTCAGAAAAAGTATCAGATCGCTGTGACCAAAGTGTTGGGCAAGAACATGGACGCCATCATTGTGGACTCGGAGAAGACGGGCAGAGATTGTATTCAATACATCAAGGAGCAGAGAGGAGAGCCCGAAACCTTCCTTCCTCTTGACTACCTCGAGGTGAATACATGGAAGTACAGATGGTCGAGTGATTAAACACCATCGAGTGTCAATCCTATATTATAACATAAAACTCCAATGAACTTCAGGAGGAAGAGGTCCGTGTCGGACATGAAATGTATCTAATGTAGATGTGTAACCGTTAACAAAATACACGGTTCTGTCAGAGTTTGATAAAGTGGAAAAGGAACCCAACTGCATAAAAATGTCTTTATTTTGTGCAGGTGTCAAATACAAAAAAAGTATCACATTGCGCCCATCACTCTTATTTAAGCACAATTGATGTTCATATCAAATGGAGGGGGAGAAAAAGAACATCCTCTAATTCCTCCTTTCTAATTTGTTCCGTTCATCTAACTAGCTACTCATTGAAATGCCATTTTTTCGGGTGCCTGGTTCAAAACTAAAGTTTTTACAGTCAAGTATAAAAGGTTATTCAGTTCCAGCGCCTGAGTTTTAAATGTGCT